TCCTTGAGATAGGAATAAAAAAGTAAAGGTTCTGAGAACCGGAAAGGACCACATCCTGGTCACTGCTACCCTGGGAACCACCAGAGGCCATAGCCCCACTTCCTGTTTAAGTCTCGTGTGGAGGTGCTGAGCAAGGGGTCACAGTTCCCCTCTATACATAACTTTAAGTCCTTCAACACTTTCTCATGGGACCTAATTCCCATATTTATACCATTTGTCCATTTTCTTAGAATCTGTTCCAAATGTCTTGGTTGAAACTTGACACAATTCTCTCTAGGTAAAATCGTGAATTGATTCTACGTTCCACTAAAAAACCCAAAGCTCTTAGAGAATAATGAAACATGCACATGTTGTATCTGGATATAGAGAAACTAAATACCCGGAGGTACCTAAAGCAACCAAAACTGGGATTATATTCTTAACCCTGGTGGAAGCTCTCAAGAGATCAACTGGGTCATTGGGTCTTTAACATATTTCATTTAAACCATTGCACATTAAATGAAAACTTGCTTTATTTCCAAAATACCTGATGGGAAAATATGAATGAATGAAATTAATAACCTGTCTGAAAAGCTCTTTCAAATAACTAATGGCAGGAGGCTGGGGGTAGTGGGGCAGGTTTGAAGATTCATCACACAAAGTCCACAGCAAAATGCATGTTAGAAGAACAATGTCACATGACCACTCACCTGATTTTTCCTTTGCAGACTGCAGCAACACACGCTCCTTCTCCAATTCATTTCTGAGTCTACAATTTCATAATTAAAAAATAGTGCAATATTAGAACCCCTGTTGTACCTTTTTTTTCTTTTGTCTATTTTAAACCATAAGTCTTTCTTTAATTGAGAAATAATAACTGATCTTTTTACTTCCTAACACAAAAGGTAATCTGAAGATGTTTATAAAATGAGAATTTAAGTCAGTTATTTTAAACAGGCAAAAGAATACACTTTTTACCAAGATTGCATAAACCATTAGTTAATGGAGTTGGTTAATTTAAAATGAATTATTTCTGATAGTGTTCGCTGATACTATTTTGTAACTTATATTGCTAAGAAGAAAGAAGGCAAAACAAACAAACAAACAACAACAAAAGAAAAATTATCATTTTAAACTGAGGCAAACAACAATTAAGGGCTATGAAAAGATCTTACTGAGGTTGGAATACACATTGCATTTTCCTGTGTGTCATAAGTCCAGCCCACAGATACAATTTACAAACTTCACTACATTTGAACCAAAACGAATATACAAGAAATTTTAAAAGGTGGAAAAAATCCTCTGTAATCTGTTCATATCCTCTTCTTGGTTCAAAGTAAACTAAATGAACTATCTTGTTTCTAGTAGATTTATATATACTAAGGGAAACACTGTAATTTGGTTAAAAGCATCAACACCACAAATCATTTAATACCACATGTCTGCAGGGGCCTGATAGTTTAGGATTTTCATACATATTAGCTCATTATATTACAGATCAAAAGAAAAACAGAATAGAATTATGACCCCCAATTTTAAGAAACTGAGAGTTCAATGGATTAATATTAACAGCCTTTTCAATATGTATATTCAGAGGGTTTAGTTTCCAGGAATTTTTCATATATTACAGTTTTAAATATTACTTACGGTTTTGTTCTATTGCTTTGTTTTTCTTTTTCAGGGACTTTAATTATATGTGAATTGGATCTTCTTTGCCTATCTTCTATTTCAATCACTTTTTCTGACTTTTTTTATTTCTTTACTTCATTTTCATTCTCTTAACTGGTTTCCTGCTTTTCTTCAAT